AAGAGTGATCATTTTGTCTTGTGTGTAGGATTAGTATTATCGAAACTAACGCTTATGTTCCGTTCTTTTTGCTATGCTCATGAGGCTAGGGGCCTAAGGTATCGTTTTTCTGTGGTAATGGAGGCGGAGCTTTTTCCGCGGAAGATTCCTTTAATGAGTGGGTATTAAGGAAATAGCTAGTATAATGTATAACTAGCAGTAAAAGGAAGAGTGTGTCAATCATCTTATCGCAAACATCGAAGCCCCCCTACGGGGGGAGGAGAAATATTGTGAGACCTCATCAAAACCTTTCTTCACTCAGAGCGTTGAGCCTTGGTATTCTGGACCCGAAGTCCAATCCCCCTGTATCGGGAGCTTGTCTACTTAGACGGAAATTCTGCGCAAGGCCTACGTGAGGGTAGCAACTCAACGTTGGCCTAGCAAAAAGGTGTTTTGTCCGGGACACAGCCGCTTTTTTTGCTGTCCAACTCTGGAATTTGTCACATCCCCGCCGTTCGCTGTTTCTTTCCTCCTTTTTTTCTTTTCTTTTTATCCCTGTGTCCTGGTTCTTTGAACCTCTGCTAGCCTTTTTTGGAAATCGAATTTCTCCGGACAACACTAAGAACATAATCCTATCCCAGCGTGCTGAATAACGCAGTTGCATTGATTCGGGGCATCTGGGCAACAACTCGCTCCACGGAGTCTCGTAAATGAGTTGCAGATGAGGGTGCCATGAGCTTTGACTCGGGCCCCTTTGATGGAATATTGGTCCCGAGGGGTGTAGTCGGGTACAGAGGTAGTTGAACAACAGAAGTATTATTCAACCACCAGCAATGGATAACTTCGTGTGTAGAGTCACAATATCTTGTGGTCCTATCTCGGTCAGAGGGTTGATTGATGGAGTGGGCAAGGCAAATCAAGCAACCAGAAGCGCATCCAAAACAGAAAGAAGATCATTGTAAGAATGGTGCAGACCATGCGCGCGCATCCCCCCCTCGTTACCTTATTTTTCAATTTTCGCATTGCTTTGTGTTTCAAGCCGCATTCTTTTGCGCCCCTCCTAGCTCGGTAACCTGTCCCAACGACATGTGGTGACCTTTAGCCAACCACGTAGCTCTGTCAATCCGCTCGGGCGCCGGGTGGAAAAGATCGAGGCCGCGGCTATTATTCCCTCCCTCTCGCCGCTCGATAGACACTCTCCGCGGATAAACCATTTCCAGCGGAGAAATACTTGACCGCGTTGGTTATCGATCATAGTTCCTAGCGTGATTCGCTCTTTTCTCTCAATAGTGCTCTCGTTGATATGTAGTAATTGATTGTGTTCCTTTGAAATCATATTGGGGTCTCATCCAGTAAGGGGGGGGGGCATGGTGCGATAGTTCATATTGCATGAAGGAATCCACTTTTTTTCAGGGGAGGGAAGCTCCAGGGTGGGTGTAAAAGCTCAAGCGAAATGCTTCACACCCCGGGGATTCCCCCCCCCTTGTAATAAAAATTGGAACTTCAAGCCAGCAAGGGAGTTGTCACACCACATGTCCGCCCCTTACTGGATGAGACGCTCATATTGTAATAACTAGATGGAAAAGTTCTCCACCGTCATTTTTTCTGCAATTCATTTTTGTCATGTGAGACGAGCCATGTCTTCCCGAACTCTTCCATCAAAAAGGAAAATGGGCGCATGTTTGCCCGGGGGGCCGTTACATTGCGTGACATTCACGGAAACGAACAGATTAGGACTAAAGAAAGCCTTGGAAGAGAAGTGCAGATCCGAAGTGTATGGGTGATTCTCATTCTCTCCACATTTCGTCCTTTCTTAAGACTAGTCCTAGTGAACCAATCCAGCGCCCCACCCATTCCCTTCGGAGGCACATTCGCCTGGATGTTAGCAAAGAGATATACGCAGTTGAGTCTGCTTTTCGAGGCCCACCTATTACCATCTCATATCTAATTGGCCGCACGCTTGACCGAGGTGAAAGCCACCTGGCATGCATCTCTAAAGACCCCTAGAGCGGCGGCCTACCTCAAATAGATCCACATTTAGCTCAGTTCGGTCCTATGTCTACCTGCTTACGACTGTGCTAATACCTCGGTTTTCTCAAAGTTCATGGTAAACCGTAGTGAACTCATTTTTCCCGTCGAGTTCTGCAATAGGGAAGAACTGGCGCAAGGGTCGCAGAGGTCGCCTGCCATGAAGCGGCAGAATAGCTTGATTTCACTGAACCACGATTTCCGAAGATATTTGCAAGTATTTTGCTATTGCTTGCTTCCTGTGACTAATTTATTGTTGTTGTTTTATTTATTATTTACTTTTGTAATATTCATGTTTTTTCCATTGTATTTCCACTTTTGTATTATTTTGTTATTAACATCATATATTTTGTTTGTTATATTTTCCTAGAGCAAATGTCAGTATTTCTTGGCATGGCTACTTGTAGCCAGTTTCTGCTGTGGAGATTTACCTCTCAACTTTATCGTTCCCGGGGAGGAAGCACAAATTTGATTATTTATCAAAGTAGCACAAATTTGATTAATTTATCAAAGTAGCCCAAATATTCAGTTTACGCTGAGGAAAGTCACATTGCTGGCACCTTTGAAAGTGCTAACAACCCAACTCTCTGGACTTTTCTGGGATAGCCCATTCTCAAAGACTCACCGGAAGCTGTCCTGCCAGCTTCAGATGTATGCATAAATAATTACCAGTTGGCAAATGAATGGGAACGAATGTGTTTTCTGTTGCCGCGTCGGTGCTTGTCTGCACCAGGTTCGCTTTTTGCTAAGACATTAGGTGCACTCCGAGGAGAGCTGCACATGAACAATTATGCTTATTACCGACCACTAAGGGCGGTTGGGACGAAACTTTCATGACCTCCGTCTCTAACTTGTAAGTCGACTTCTACAACGCGTCGCGTTCGCAACTGTTTCAAAGGATTTTACCATCCGCTGAATGGTCAGACCGTTTCGTTGCGGCAAGTTCCGCATCCGGAGAAGTCCGTCAATTAGGGTCGGTGTCGTCAAAAGGTCCGAGATAACCCGGGTCATCGTGTCTGTGAAGAAACATGGATTCTGCTCGCGGGAGAGGAGGCGTCCATTTTGGCGAGCTTTCTATTTGGGTAGACAATAATCAAAAAATTAAGCATGAACTGCGGTTCATAACCATTATCAATTAGCACGAATTGGCCTGTCCTTTATTGGATAAATCCACCTCCCATTCGCTCACCCGCTCTACCGCGCCTCTTCATGAGGCAAAAAAATGTGCGGGGCTGTGGTGGAGAATCAAATGCTACCAGAACGACCATGGGGGAAACGCGGGGTCGGGGGAGGGTTCACAATCTGGGGGACTCTCTCACAGCTGAATGGTAGTGGTGAGACAGGTCGTGGCCCCCCATCTTAAAGGATGGGTTGTAGAAGCTTTTCGGAGGCCGGTCGCCTGGTTTCAGCCAACCCCCCCCCCACTGTCTCCTAAAGCGACCTCCCACTCGCATGCTCCTAGGAGATGAATAGATCAGTCCCCAAATACGACCCGCCTCCTGTTCAAATGGTGCGAGAAGTTTCCCAAACATGGCGTTGAGGATGCAAAGCCCAAAGTCGAAAATTGGATGCCGCTAGCTCTGCTCCCCACTGTTCATGCAGCAGCCGTTTCGATCTTTTCTTATAACTAGCTGAACTATTACAAAATTGTGTTGCAAACATGTTCCAGACTAGACCTATTGTCTACGATCCATCGCTTTTCCATTCATCTAGAAGCGTTACACGAAGAGATCGAGCATTTGAAACCCAACAATCTGGTGAAACGGTCTTCGCCGAGTTCCTAGCTCACAGAAATCCAAATTCCACTTCCCACATCCGACATCAGTTAACCCATTTCTTCTAGGCAACGTAATCAGAACATCGTCACAGTTTTCAATTCGCGCGCCCAAAGACTTTTTTTGAATCAAGATATGCGCTTTTAATTTGAGCAGTCAAAATGTCAGGAAAACTTCCGCAATACAACTCAACATCTTTCATAAGAATTCTGGAAGTTGTTTCTGTTTTGTTTGTAAATTTCGTTTGTTAAAAACAGCTACAATGAGCAGAAGAGGTTAGTGCAGGTGATGCTACCTACCACGCGCGCGGTCCAGGAAAAATCAAAAAACCTTGGCCGCACTACCCGTTTCGCACGGCCAATCAGCCCTTTCATATATCTGAAGGTCGAAAAAGTGTACCAGACTCTTCTAGAAGGATAATAAACTGACTTTACATTGGATGTACCTCCGCAAGTCATTGTATAGCCAAATCGCATTCAAGTGCCACCACACGAATGTACAAATGGAAGTAGAATGCGTGCCGCACCCCAAAAAGGAATCGATCAAGCGCCGAATGCTTCCGTGAAAACTTCAAAAAACAATCTGGCGGTTTAAATTTTCTGACTGTTTTCCCGAATTCCAACCATACAGCTCATTTCGAGAAGCCGATCCATTTCTGTGTAATTTCGTTCTAGTGGATCAAAGCCAATTTGTTTTTCCGTTTCGGAGAACTCTTCGACTCCATGGCGTCACCCATGCGAGCGAGACTGCAGGAGGGGTCAAAAACAAGTTCCTGCTCAACAATATTGCACAAACGTGCTACTGAAATCGTAGGGAACAGATTATCCACTGTGGGGTAAGCGAAATGAGTTACCGTCTAGAGCCTTATTTTTTGGGCATTGTTTTATTAGATTTTTTTGTATCTCTCCTTCTCTTGAATCCTTCCCCCTTTCACCTCCACGCCTTCTTCACCTATATTCCTTAAATAACCTCAACCTTTTTTCACGTCAGGTTTTCACCGGTCGTACCTTTCATCTGCAGTGTTTCCTTTCAAGAACATGAGTCAAACTTGTTCGGCTTACAACGGCTATTTGCTGGAGAAAACGAGCTCGAACGAAGAAAAAGTGTGATAAATTTCAATTTTTCCTTTCCGCCTGATTCGTCCGTCTAAATGCTGAATATGATATTCTTTCAGGATTGCTGTCCGACAATATCCAACGAAGAGTCAAATCGGCAAACATGGTACCTGCTGAAAATGAACTCCTTTTTCAAATGGTGGCTCGAAACTTTCGTGAATTCAATACGAAGTTCCTTGTAGGTAAGCCTTGACTGATGATTGCGCTCAACTAAGGATAGTGAGTGAATTCGGTTTACTTGCATTCTGGCGCGTTTGAGCCTGTATCTGGGATATACATTGTGTTATTATAGCAACTTTTGAGCTCATGCAGGAGTTCAGGATAGTTTTCCTTGTCTTATCAAGGCGGAGTTCATGATAAAAAGACAGCTATTAGAAACCAGGTAGAGGTGGTCAGTGGTGCAGGAGATGAAGAAAAAGTCATGAGAAACGGCCAAGAACCCGAGAAACGGGCCTTTTTTGCCCGTTGATTTCCGCATTGATGCGACTCTCATCGATGCTTTTCTCTTCAACACTAACGCTCTCTTTCTAAACGGCTAGAGTCAGACGGCGAGGAGATGGGCCAGCAGTGGCGCGAACGGCGCTGGCAGGGCTCTGCTAGGCCACTGAAGTCACTCTTCGCTGAGAATAGCGCATCGTCCCGCACCCTTGTGGGGGGGGGGGAGGGGAGAAGGAGGAGCGGAGGGCCGCCTATTTTCTCACTTCTAGGCACGTATGTTTTCTCTTCTTCAACATCCGACCTTATCGTGGAATTTCGATCAATATCAATGCAACTGAATTCTTTCGATGTTGATTTTCCCTCGATCAACCTATTTTTTATTAGACCACGATTTCAATTACTAAAATTTTATTTGGTTTGTATTTTACTGGCCAAATTTCAATTTTTTGTGCTTTAATTTGTGCCATATTTTCATGAAAATTAAAGAAGTATCCTGAACGTTCATTACAACACCCCATAGTTTCAGGAAAAAAGCGAGGGAATACTTCGCGTCAGCGCCTTCTGGAGTACTGGGCGGAACAGATCACAGCGCTCGGGTTTAGTTCGCGTTCACCGGAACAGATCCACGAAAAAGTCCGTAAAGCTGTGGACAGATGTCGCCGAAGCATAATAATTGAGAAGGTAGGGGAATTTCACTTTTGCTTCAGGACAGTACTACACAGTACTGTAGAAAACACGTTTTTGTATTTCAGAGAGCCGCTCTGAGAGGACTTTCTGGTTCACATCACAGTGACATTCCCTACTATCTGGAACCACTGAAGCAAGTGCTGTTATCAGAAGCTGAGGAAGCTCAGGCTGCACGCACGTCGATGGTTACGGTGGATGAGGACGATGGATACTGTGACAGCAAAGAGGCCGTACAGAATGAAATCAGAGCAATGAACGCTCAGCGGCCCACTTCGACACCTTCGTTCGGCTCCCGATCTCTCAAGATCCCGAATACCACCACTGACTACTAGCTTCGACATTCCATCCAGATCAACCTCCGGAAACAGAGAATGGCGGCCCATCGTTCAATTTGGCATCGCTTTTTGAGGATGCACCTTCGACATCGTCGCTGTCAGGCA